TTTTAATTCGTGAGCTTTTTTAAAATTTCTGAAAGTATTTTAAACTTGTGAACATTTTTAGAAAATATGTGAACTTTTTTTGAATTCGTGAATAATTTTTAAATCCATGAACATTTTTTGAATTTATGAAATTTTAAAATATTTCAATGATCGGTAACCGTTTTCCCCCAGCAGGGGCTATTGCTTTCTAATGGTTTCTGCTTCGAGCATCTACACCTGGGCACCGTAAACAACCCTCAAACTCCTGGGCGGACGACTTGGTCAGTGACCAGTCAAAAAGATGCGATCCATATGGTCGCCTCAAACTCCCCGGCTGTCCGGCACCTCTCATATTCAGCCCAAATCCGGGGCAAATATGGGGCGGCCCAGGCACATCCACCATGTCGGACTCACATTGGTGTCCCACAAGGAAACACGGCGACCCGACGGGCGTCTCCTCCCATGGAGTGTGAACTCCGCGTGGCGCCGCTTCGAGTCACCGCCTGAGTGCCAAAGTCCGACTATTTAAGCCGGACGACATCCCCAGCACTAGCCACATCCACTTCCTCCCTCTTCGTGCCGCCAGCCCGAGCCCATGCTTCGAGTCACCGCCTGAGTGCCAAAGTCCGACTATTTAAGCCGGACGGCACCCCCCAGCACTAGCCACATCCACTTCCTCCCTCTTCGTGCCGCCAGCCCGAGCCCATCCACCTCTCTCCATTTTCGTCTCACTCTTCCCTCATCGTCCGACTCCGCCATGGCCCAGCAGAAGAATACCACTTATGCTATGCTAGCGCCGGAACGCCGCTTTAAAATGTTTGAGGAGATTCGGGCGAGGCGCGCCGCCCACATCATAGCCGGTCTGCCTTCGGACTCATCGGGACCAGAGTAGGAGTAGGAGGAGGAGGAGAAGAAGGGGGGCAGCAGCCGGTGCCGGACTAGAGGCGGAGGCCGACGAAGAGGATTCAGAGTTGCAGCTGTCGCACATGTACCCGGAGCTGGGCACGAAGATCATGGACATCTGCGACGATGACGAGTAGTGTAGTTAATCTTAGTTGATATACGTAGTACGTAAATATGTCCGGGATGTGCGCGTTTGAGGGGCTAGATTTGTTGTCTGTGCCTGTAGATGCTCTTAGATAAAAAAACAAACAGACACAAGGAGCGAGCGGGGAGCTCCTATTGGGAGCGTTAAGCGCCAGTTTGTGGTTACAGCGCACAGGGGCACACCTGCATGGGCCTGGCCATCACTCGCGGTGACCGTCCCTTGCTTGCATGGACGTACGATTCGCTCGCTCGTACGACTCTCTCCTCTTAGAATCGCATTTTTTCAGGTGGTTCCCTGGAAAAATCTTTTGGTCCAGGAAGAAAAAAGCGGAATAGTTTTTTTAGTATTTCAAAATTTGGTAAACTAAAAATATGTGCACAGGTTCAAAAAAAGCTCACGAATTAGAAAAACAGTTCATCAATTCCTTTTAGAAGAAATTCATCGATTTTCAAGGAAAGTTTATAAATGTCAGAAAAGGTTCATTCAATTTTAAAAGAATCATCAATTTTGAAAAAACAGTTCGCTCATCGATTTTGAAAAAATTCATCTATTTTTAGAAAAAGTCCATCGATTTTGTCAAAAGTTCATCGGTTTTGAGAAAAAGTTATTTGATTTTAAAAAAAGGTCACCGATTGTCAAAAAAATAATCGGCTTTGAAAATTAGTTCACAGATATAAAAAAAGTCATTGATTTTTAAAAAGTTTACAAAATTTAAAAAGGTTCACTCAATTAGCAAAATCAAAATAAAATAAAAAATCAAACAAAACCGTTCTAAAAAAGAGAAAAAATGAGAAAGGAAAAGGAAAGAATAAAAGGGTGAAAAGATGTAAGTACTAACATTACGTGCTGGTGGCCGGCTGGTGACTGCAGTGTACTACCTTCTTCTGGGATTACAAGACCGGACAGCCACCGCAGCTGTACCCAGGCACTTGCCTCATCATTCAGAGGATGTTTGGATACATTTTAGTCCCATGACTAAAAGTAGTGGGACTAAAACTTGTTAGCCTCATCCATGCTTGGATCCAAATACTAAAAAGACTAAAATCAAGTTATTGAGCATTTATTATCCTTCAAACCCTCCAATCCAGAACTCGCATGTGTTAAAGAAGAGGCATTAAATGAAGAGAGAAAGGGTTAATACATATTTTAGTAGGTTTCCTATGACTAAAAAATTTTAGCCTCAAGACTAGTCCTAGCCTCTCTTTAGTCAGGGGTGCTTGAAACTTTAGCCTCTAAAAAAGACTATTTTTAGTCAGACTAAAAATAGTTCCTTGGATCCAAGCACCTTACAAAAAGTTGCATCTGGCATCTCCTCTACATGCATGCACCCAATGAATAGTCTACATGCAGCGCAGTACTTTTAATCCTCTGCCTGCATGCAGCGCCTTAGGGCATGTACAATTGTGGCATATGGATACATATGCCCCGTGACAAAAAGTAATTTGAAGCACCTACATTAATTTTTTTCTCTCCAATGCAAGCTATCACTAGTGGGCCTCATTAAGAAATAAAAAATAAAGACTCTAGTACACATGCATCTCTACTTTTCACTCCAATCTTTTCAGCTTTTCAGCTTTTTCTCTTCAAGCACCCGCCTCCTGAAGAGGATCCTGCTTCCCTATCTGAACCTACTTTACGTCATATCCGATCCTACATGGCATGCGAGGCATCACCTTGAGGCTATGCATTGTACATGCCCTTAGCCAATCGTCTCGTGAACCAGCAGCGCTAACGAAGCAAGCCGGCCTTTTAATCCCGTACAACCAACACTGGCTAGCCGGACCTATAATCCTAGATGGAGGCAGTACTCCCTCAGTTTCTTTTTAGTCTGCATATAAGGTTTGGTCAAAGTCAAGCTTTGCATAGCTTGACTAATTTTATATTAAAAAATATCAACATTTATAATATGAAATCAACATTTTCAGATGCACCATGAAATGTATTTTCATATTATATAGTTTAAGTATTGTAGATGTTCATATTTTTTAATATAAACTTGGTCAAACTTTGTGTAGTTTGACTTTGACCAAAACTTATACGCGGAGTAAAAAGAAACGGAGGGAGTACGATCGATCTGGGAGTCGCCGGTTCGATTTTGGAACGGTTTTGTTAGCAAAATATACTATAGCGGTGCCATCGGAAAAATACCTGAAAACCCGACGGTCCGACCGGCATCTCCTCCCGTGGAGCGTGAACCTCGCGTGGCGCCGCTCTGACTAGCCGCCTGAGTGCCAAAGTCCGGCTATTTAAGCCGGACGGCATCCACAACCCTAGCCAACATCCATTTCCTCCCTCTTCGTGCCGCCAACCCGATCCCATCCACCTCTCTCCCATTTCATCTCATTCCTCCCTCTTTGTCCGGCTCCGCCATGGCCCAGCAGTAGAAACCACTTATGCCATGCTAGCGCCGGAACGCCGATTTAAAATGCTGGAGGAGATTCGGGCGAGGCGCGCCGCCCGCATCATAGCCGGTCTACCTCACGACTCGTCGAGGCCAGAGGAGGAGTAAGAGGAGGAAGAGGAGGAGGTGTTTGGGGAGTAGCCAGTGCCGGACTGGAGGCGGAGGCCGACGAAGAGCAACCGGAGTTGCAACTGCTGTACATGTAACCGGAGCTGGGCACGAAGATCATGGACATATGTGACGATGACGAGAAGTGTATTTAATCTTAGTTGTAAATGTGTCCGGAATGTGCGCGTTTGAGGGGCTAGATTTGTTGTCCGTGTCTGTAGATGCTCTAAGATGAAAAAAACAATCGGACACAAGGAGCGAGCAGGGTGCTCCTAATGGCAGCCTTAAGCGCCAGTTTGTGGTTGCAACGCACAAGGGCACACGTGCATGGGCCTGGCCATCACTAGCGGTGACCGTCACTTGCTCGCATGGACATCCGATTCGCTCGCTGGTACGACTTGCTTCTCTTAAGATTGCATTTTTCATGCGGTTCCCTGAAAAATCTTTTGGTCCATAAAGAAAAAACTGGAATAGTTTTTTTATTATTTCAAAATGTGGTAACATAAAAAATATGTGCACAGGTTCAAATAAAGCTCACGAATTGGAAAAACAGTTCATTTATTCCTTTTAGAAGAAATTCATCGCTTTTGAAGGAAAGTTCACAAATGTCAGAAAAGGTTCATTCATTTTTAAAAAAAGTTCATCAATTTTGAAAACAGTTCACCAGTTTTGGAAAAAGTTCATCAATTTTTAGAAAAAGTTCATCAATTTGAGAAAAAGTTCATCGATTTTAGAAAAAGGTCACCGATTTTCAAAAAGATAATCGACTTTGAAAAATACTTCACAGGTTTCAAAAAAAATTCATTAACTTCTAAAAAGTTTATGAAATTAAAAAAGGTTCACTAATTTAGCAAAAGCAAAATAAAATACAAAGTTGAACAAACAGTTCCAAAAAAAGAGAAAAAAGGAGAAAGGAAAAGGAAAGAATAAAAGAGTGAAAAGATGTACGACTAAGCAATAACATTACGTGCTGGTGGCCGGCTGGTGACTGCAGTGTAGAATCAACCAGGAGCCGCCGGCCTCGATTTTGGAACGGTTTTGTTACTAGCAAAATATACTATGACGGGCGCTTGAGGTGCCATGTAGGAAATGCTGAACGAGGGAGCAAATGGATCGGAGCGAGCGAGCGACCGCACCGGAGCGACGCATTATTCTTGGGCCAAAGCCCATGTGAGCGTTATAATGACGCGTATAACTCTTCCACCCGACACCCGACCGCCGCCTTCTCCATCAAAGATCCTTGACGCGTATGCACCCGACCGCCGCGGCGTCCAATCCGACTTCGACCATGCCTTGACGCTCACCCCGAGCCCTAGCCGGAACCTTTTCCTCCTTTATATATAGTGCCACAGCGCGTCGTGTTGAGGCAGACCAAATCAAGACACAACAACAGAGGAGGGAACGCCGCCGCCGCCGACACCGCCGAGTTTCTTCCGCTCCCTCGCTGCTGGATCGACCGCGGCGATGGTGCGGCCGCGCGGCACGACGAGCACGGGGCGGCACCGCATCGAGATGAGCCTCAGGCCGGACAAGAACAGCCGGCAGGTCACCTTCTCCAAGCGCCGCGCCGGCCTCTTCAAGAAGTGCTCCGAGCTCGCCCTCCTCTGCGGCGCCCGCGTGGCCGTCGTCGTCTTCTCCGAGGCGGGCAACGCCTTCGCCCTCGGCAGCCCCTCCATGGAGGCCGTCCTGCGTCGCTTCGACGACGGCAACGACGCCGGCGCCCTCGTTCCTGCCGCTGACGTCGACGACCGTGAGGCGCTGGAGGAGTTGTACCGGGCCAGGGAGGCGACCGCGGAGCAGGTGGCGTCGGAGATCAAGCGGATGAATACCATCGGGGACACGGTGGTCAAGGCCCAGATGGGGAGGCGGTACTGGTGGGAGGCCGACGTGGAGGCGCTCGGGGAGGCCGAGCTGCCGGAGTTCGCCCGGGCGCTCGACCGGCTCAGGGCTAACGTGCGCCGCCACGCCAACAAGCTCCGCTCCTGATTCTTTGGGCTTAATTACTAGGCTTGTGCTTGCTTACAATTCCATGGTAGTGGTGGAAGCTTAGCTTAGCTGCAATCATGCACGAGTTTGGTATGAAATCTGGGTTTGGTTGGAGAGAGGCAATTTAACAGGGTTGGAATCATTGGTTGGAATTGGAACTTGATACATGTTGCAGGAGCAAGTCAATCCATATATGGTCATGTCTTTCCCTATGATGAAGCTCTGTCCTTAGTTTTATGTAGGCCATGTTCTTATCTACTGTACCTTTCACTGTAGTGATGCATGGTTCTGTTATGAATTAAGAGGGCTGGAATTTGAAACAATTTGCAGGAGCAAGTCCATCCATGAATCATGTCTTTCTCTATGCTTCTCTGAACATGCTCGGTTTAACCTGATACAACACCCGAAACATTGACAAATGAGTTCGTATATATTGTTGCTACATACTCTGCAAATAGTATCAGCATTGGTCGTGTGTTTTTTTATCTGCCTGAACCTGAATTTCCCAACTACATTTGAAACCTAAACTGAATGCAGCGAAACATGTTGAAGGAACAAATATAATTTTGGTCCTTCGCACCTCCAAGATTTATTTCATAGCCTGATATTCTTCATTTTAGAAATACATATAAACAAATACAACTTTCCATCCTTTTCCCGCATTGCACGAAATGTGTATGTCCAAGTTTTCAGTTTGCTACTTCTGATTTCTGAATGCCTGAAGATGCAATTTTCTGTTTGATAAAATGAATGCCTGCCGATGTACTCTTGCTTTGGTAGTGTGGCTGTTCCTGTTGCTTAACCAAGTTCACTAGCTCAGGATCAGGGGCATCTTCAGGCATTTGAAAAAATGTTCAAAACAAGTATTTGAAAAATATACATCATGTATTCTAAAAATGTCCAGGTGCATCAAAAAATGTTACACATGTATACAGAAAATGTACAATGTGCATAAAAAAGTACACATATATTTGATAATAAAGAAAAACCAAAGATAGATGATGGAAATAGTTAAAAATACAGAGAAACAAAAGAAGAAAAGAAAACCCAAATGATAACGCCACATGTATGGCATGTTTGCACATCGCCCACGTGTCTTGATCCACGTTGATTCTGTTTTGCACGAATCCTAAAAAAATCTGTTAGAATCTGAGTGCCACGTGGGCATCATCGTGTGTGTGGGCGTTGGAGAGTTCGCCTACACGCCCCGCAGCACGCGGTTTTCTAGCTGGAATGTGTGGGCGAATTAGTTTCTGCTCACACCGCCACCACCTAGTCCATGCCGTGTGGGTGAACTGCTTTTCGCCCACACGACACCCGTACGTTGTTGGATGGCAACTGCAATTGCGCGTACGTGGCAACTAGGTAAACACACATGGCAACTATGATTCATTACTAGACGGCAACTGCAGTTGCGCGTACGTGGCAACCAGATAAACACACATGAAAACTATGATTAACCATATATGGCAACTATGGTTGGACCACATGTGGCAACTAGGTAAACACACATAGCAACTATTGTTTGACCATATGTGACAAGTAGTTAATCACACACGACAACTATGGTTTGATTACACGCGGCAACTACCATAAATTAGACATGACAACTTTAGTTAACCAAAACAGAAAGAGTTGTCATACTTTTACAATTGCATTTGCCATCCTACATAACTCGTGTGGACTGCCTCCTGCTCATGCCACACATGGTGTGTGAACGGATGTCTAGTATGCCACACGTGTGAGTGTTATCAGGACCTAAAGATACCACACATGGAAGGTTCTAAAACCGGTCTATCATACCTATTTTTAGAATACCGAACTATAGTACCTTCCCAAAGTCATTGTAGGGATTATAATATTGGGCCGGCCCATTTAATCGAGCGCCAGAGGCGAGGCCGAACTAACACTTGACAAGCTCTTAGCACGTGTAACATCGAACTAACATCGTTGTGGCTGGCAAACATTGTTTTTCCTTTTGTTTGTTTTTCACTTTCTTTTTTTACATTTAAAATTCAGATATATTATTTTGCATTTATATTTTTTTCTAAAATTTGACATTTTTTAAGTTCATGAATATTTTTCTAATTCATGATTTTTTTTTAATTTGTGGGCATCTTTCAAAATTTATGATCATTTTTTAAAATACGTGGACATTCTTAAAGAAACATGAACACATTTTAAATTCGTGTATATATTTTTGCGAATAGAACTTGTATTACTCAAACATCAAAATTACAATCAGCAAGACAATTGTCCTCAACATCCTCAGGACCGAAGCATAACCAAATTACAGTACGGCCACGACGTCTAACATAGTTAGCTAAGAAGTGACTAATAGTATTTTGGTTACGCGAAATATGAGTACTACAAGTCTGACGAGATCTCATAAGTTTCTTAATCTCCTCAATCAATGTCATGTAGCCTGACAGGTCTTGATCCTTCTGCTGAACGATGTTGACGAGTTGTAAGCAATCTACCTCGATTAGGACAGGAGTGCTACACCATTGAAGAGCCAAAGAGACACTTTCACACACTGCAGGAAGCTCAACTTCCAAAGCATCCGAACAAGAGTCGAGATATGTGCATGAGGAGAATATATGTTTCCCAAGATGGTCTCTTAGGATCATTCTAGTGCCCGCAATACCTTCTGCTGAGAAGGATCCATCGGTATTAAGGTTATTCCAGCCCAAAACTGGTGGGATCCATGCATGCGTGTGAGCAGAAGAAGTGCCTGACTGGGATAAAGGAGCAATATGACCATCAATAGAAAACTTCCCTTTGATGAAGTCTTTGTCGGGGTGGTACTTGATCTTATGTGGCATACCCATATAACTAAGAAGAAATCTTTTGAAGACATCAACAAGAGGTGGTTTCTTGTTGTGGACAACCTTATTACAAATAAACCAGCAGTGCCAAAACACCATTAGAATTCTATCCAACATGCAAGTATCAATGCCCGCTGCAACAATAAGTAGCCAATCTCTCCCAATATTTCTGAAGGTTTCCAACTTAGGCAAGTTCCAAACTTCTGATAAACTACGACACAACATAACTGAAAACAAACATCTGACGAAAGGGTGAAAATTATCCTCTGCTTCTACTCCACATACTGGGCACTGATCTGAAAGTTCTAGGTTCCTATTATGCCTGTTACGCCAAGTAGGGAGAGAATCATCGCAGAACCTCCACACAGGAGTTTTAACGGTGGGTGGAACGCAGCTCTTCCATATATTGTTCCAGATTTTCCTATTTGCGTTAGGAGCCGAACTACTAGTTGATGCCGAGCTCCAGCATTCCTCCATAGACATTCCGTAAGCACTCTTAACTGAGAAAGAGCCTCTTTTTTAGGCGCCCAGGCTAGACAATCATCCAAACAAACATACGGATAAAGCTTCAGAATTTCAGTGATATCCATCTGCATGAAGTACCGGTGCAGTACGTCCAGCTTCCAATTACCAAAGTGGTCTATGAGCTCTGAGACGAATCTCAACCTGCATCTACGCTTCGGTGATACAAGCTTATATGAGAATGGTCTCTGCATCCAGGAATCTCTCCAGATAAGGATACTTTGTCCAATACCCACCCTCCAAACTAATCCTTTTTTCAACAGATCCAAACCATATGAGATAGCTTGCCATGATGATACTGTTCTTAGTGGAGTGTATATAATTTTGACTCATGAGCATTTTATTTATATCGTGTATTATTTTTGAATTCATTAATAGATCCTTTGAGGGGTAAGATTTTGAAGGAATTGTTGAACTGATGCCCTTGGATGGTATAATTTATGGGCACCACATGTGAACCACACCATACTCAGCAATGAACATAGTGTCCATGGGTTGAGTGATAGGGGTGCAATGGGTTTTAACAGTGAAATTCATGTTTATGGTAGCCCGAACACACAGGTCGAGATGGCTCCTCCTTCCTCTCCCTCCCTCCTCCCTTCCTCCTCCCCTCCTCGCCTTGGCAGGCCCGCTCTCAGCCCTGCCCCGTTGGCCGGCATCCGGTCGCACTCCTCTCCGCGTGCAGATGCTCTCCCTCTCCCCTCCTCCGTCTCCCCGCGGGTGGGGTTCTCCCCTCCTTCTTCTCCGCTGCCGATGTTTGGATCTCGTTTTTGGGCCCTTGTGTCTGATGAGGAGGATGCGCTGTCGTTGGCCTCCTCCCCCTGCGGTGTTGTGCCCTGCTCTGGGGGGGTGGGGGTGGCCTGCGCCGCTCCTCGCCTCCGCAAGTTCGCTCCTGGGGGCCGGGGCCGGCCGGTGGTTGTGTCTCCGCCGGTCGACGACTGGATCCGGATCTCGCGGCGTCGGCGTAAATCTGGTAAGTTTGTTGTTGCGTCTCCTGATCCTGGTGTCTTGGGTCGTGCTCCTGATGGGAAGCTTGGAGGCTCTCCATCTCCCTCTCCGGCTTCGTCTGCGGCGGCCTCGTCGCCGGTGGCGGCGTCGGCGGGGGCGTTGGTGGCTTCGTGTAACCTAGATCTTGATCTCGGTGCGGTGTCCTCTGGATCGCGGGCCAACTCCCCGTGTGGGCTTGCTGGGCCTGGCGGGGTGGTGCTGGCTAGTGGGCCTTCCTCCCCTCCCACCCTCTCTTCTGTGGTCGATTTCCCCCCTCTCGTTGCGTATGGCCCAGTTGGGCCCACCACCCGGCTGCCTGCTCCTCACCCTCCTTCGGCCCATTTGGCTAGTCGGGCCTAGGTGGGCACGGCTTCCTCGGGCTATTTATGGATTCCACGCGGTTCTCTCCCTCCCTGCTAGGGTTTCCTGCTTCCGCTTCTGATCTGCGCCGCCATCGTCTTCCCATCCGCCGCATCATTAGATCTCCCCCACGCCCACCCCTCCGTCTTCCTTTTGCTGCGGTGATCGCCATGGACAAGTCTAGGGGTTCTTCTTGCGAGGCGCTCTCTGGCAGCAAGCGGCGCCGCGAGGAATCCCCTGCCTCCGCGGTGGATCTGGAGCTCGAGGCTTCGCTCCGCTCCAAGCTGGAGTCGGAGCAGGCGG